GCACAGCCGTTCTCAATCAGTGTGCCGGGGCACCTTGGGGTGCCTTCTGGCTTCCTCAGGGGTGCCTCAGAATCTTGTGATGGTGGACTCTGATATGACGGTGGACTGAGAACTCTGGTGTGAAGAAGGGACTGAGGACTCTCTGATGTGAACAGGGGACTGAGGACTCTGATATGAAGGGGGAACTGAACTCTGATGTGAAGAGGGGACTGAGGACTCTGATGTACAGAAGGGACTGAGGACTCTCTGATGTGAACAGGGGACTGAGGACTCTGATATGAAGGGGGAACTGAACTCTGATGTGAAGAGGGGACTGAGGACTCTGATGTACAGAAGGGACTGAGGACTCTCTGATGTGAACAGGGGACTGAGGACTCTGATATGAAGGGGGAACTGAACTCTGATGTGAAGAGGGGACTGAGGACTCTGATGTACAGAAGGGACTGAGGACTCTCTGATGTGAACAGGGGACTGAGGACTCTGATATGAAGGGGGAACTGAACTCTGATGTGAAGAGGGGACTGAGGACTCTGATGTACAGAAGGGACTGAGGACTCTCTGATGTGAACAGGGGACTGAGGACTCTGATATGAAGGGGGAACTGAACTCTGATGTGAAGAGGGGACTGAGGACTCTGATGTACAGAAGGGACTGAGGACTCTCTGATGTGAACAGGGGACTGAGGACTCTGATATGAAGGGGGGACTGAACTCTGATGTAAAGAGGGGAATGAGGACTCTGATGTACAGAAGGGACTGATGACTCTCTGATGTGAAGAGCGGACTGAGGACTCTCTGATGTGAAGTGGGGACTGATGACTCTCTGATGTGAAGAGCGGACTGAGAACTCTGATGTGAAGGGGGGAATCCTACTTTTTTGCATGGCAGTTTTTTAGACTGGGGTGCCTCGAGATCTTTCAGACTTCTAAAGGGTGACGTGACTGGAAAAAAGTTGAGAAATGATGGTCTAGCAAACCATGTGGAGACTGCATCCCTAAGAACAAAAGTATAACAAGCAAAGAACAGAAAAGCCCCCAACAAAATAGCTACACCACTACGTTTCTACAGCTGCTGAGCAATTTATTAGGAACACCACCCCACCTGCATAGTCACGCAGTTATGTAATCAGCCAATCATGCATGATGCAGTCATGTCAACATGGTTCAGAGTTTCGAAGGAATGTTTGTGGAAGGAGGAATCCATGTCTGATTATTAGTATAGTGTACCTAATAAATGTCTTAATGTATAATTATCAATATCCCTAACTTTCAGTCCCATGTCGCCATAACAAAGGAAAATCTCCCCAGACAGTAATAAAAACCTGGCAGTGGTTCTAACAGCGCCATCTTTGGTTGTCACTACAAGCCCCTAACCTTGGTCAGAACACCGTATGGAGTGCATTCCTGGACTTGATCACTTGCAGGGGTTCTAATCCTTCAACACTCCATCCAAAACTAAAAAAAGAGGAAAAAGTTTGTGCTTTAGATACATCTTATAAATTCTTTGAGAAATTTGGGGGCTGCAACTGATGACCAACACTAACATCCAACCTCTGGCTTCATTACTTTCCGAGCCACTGACCTGACATTTCCCCATGTGTTTTTTCCTAATCAGGGACTCACCAAGTATTCAAACCAGAGGAACAATATGATAGGTAATTAGCAAATTCAGGAGGCCAGCAATGACACCCTCTATAGCTCTCAGTAAAGAAAGCCCAAGCCCTGGTCTGTCGTTCTCACCCTGGCTTCAGTACGGGGAGCTGAGTTTCTAAAGCAGTCATTAATCTATACTGGCTAAGTGTCCAATCAGAGGACTGAAGAAAAAAAACCTCTCAATCCTAATTGAGTATTTGAAGTTAAGAAGGACCACTGTGGAGAAGTCCTCCTTTGGAACACCTGCTCCTGGAGTTTTCAGTTTAGATAGTGAAGGATGGATGAAAATGACAGCCCAGAGCTTGCACTAGTAAAAACACACTACCAGTTAAATATTTTGTCTTGAAAAACACCCTTTAAAGAGATTTTGTCACATTGTCCATTTAGGGCAAAGTAACAGGTTTTTATTAAAGCCCACTCCCCAACCCACTTATGCTTTGCGGTGCTCGTCTGCCTAAAATATTCAGTGCTTCCAGATATGGAGGAGCATGATATCTTCAATAGGATCTAACGCCTACTTTTTTTTAAGAGATTCACCATCCCACACCTTTCTTCTACTTCCTATACATCATATACATTGGTGGTCAGTATAAAGATGTTCTCTTAGATGCACACCCAGTCCCTACTCAAGCAACGTGCTGACTTGGGAGAATCATTCCCTGTTGTTGCAGGGCCGGCCTTAGGGGTGTGCGAGCAGTGCGGCCGCACAGGGCGCCTAAAGGCCTAAGGCCGGCCCTGGTTACATGCACACCCAGTCCCTACTCGACCAAAGAGCTGACTTGGCCATGACTCTTGGTAGAGCTGCTTAAGGAGAATCATTCCCTCTAAACTGCTTCAGACTAGTGATGGGCTCGGGCGTGTTCGCAGCTCCACGTGCCGAGCCTGTCAGGAAGCTGACAGAGCCAATCACAGGTACTGAGACATCATCCTTAGATATGGTGGAGTATGATATCTTCACTAAGATCTAACGTCTACTTTTTTAAGAGATCCATCACCCCACACCTTTCCTCTACTTCCTATACATTGGTGGCCAGTATAAAGATGTTCTCTTACATCCACACCCAGTCCCTACTCAAGCAAAGTGCTGACTTGGGTGAATCATTCCCTCTACACTGTTTGCATTAAATGCAAAGAAATGAAAGAGGCTAAAAAAAAAAAAAAATGGAGAAAAAAATTCTGAAATAAAGAAATTACATCGAAAGTAAATACTAAACCAAAAAAAAGTCAATTTTCCCATGTGAGTCCCGCGACTGACCTTTATAGAGATAATAAATGCAATGCCTGCTCTGTACACATATATTTAATGGCTTCCAGAATTGTGGGTGGCGAGTCTCTGACCTTTCATTGATCTATCCAAAGCTTGGGACTGTCTGCAAAGATTCACAAATCAAAGCTTATCTCTTCAGCTACAGGTACATTTTTTAAGTGTAACTCCAGCCAATATTTTGTTTTTGTTTTGGATAGCATAGGGAAGGGTTTACCCCCTGTAAAGTTTATTTTGTTATGTCTTGCCCTGTTCAGAAGATTTCCCCTCACTTTCTGCCCCTGTGACAATTGGATTTGGAAAATTGAGTTGTCGTGGAAACAAGGATTAGTGATAAAGCTTCAGCGGAGAAACCTTTTTCCTCATAATAATTCTAGCAGGAGTGAATTTCCCTTCCTAGGGGTAGATTTCCTTTCACTTCTTGCTGTCTCAAGGGCAGGAAGTGAGAATAAATCTTTCTAACGAGGCTACAGACAGCAGTAAAAACATCACAGTGACCCGGAAGAAGAGGCGGGCACCCCTCGTCTGCATGTCTGACAAGAGCCAACTTCCTGTAATGTACGAGTGCGGTAGCATTACAACTACCCCTGCTGTACAGTAATAGCCTCCGTTTTTAAGTCGGAGTCGTATGTACGTCGGATGTATGTAACTCAGGGACTGCCTGTATATATATACACATACACACATACTGTATATATATATATAACACTAGATAGTACTACGGCAGGGGTTTATAATACATAGCACAACCTATAAACTGCAATAAAAATAAATGGATTATTTGGAATACCTCTCTACAAAATTCTATGTACGGCACATGGTCACTCATTTCTTTATATGGTATTACTGAATATTTGTAAAATTTGCCTTGTACCCAAACTGCCTCCATACACCCAGACTATCAAAGTAAAACTGTAAGCAAATCCTTTTCTGTTGCATAGAGTGGGAAAGGGTCAGAACTTCTGTTTTTTTTTGCTCTCTATTTTCCAGTTGGCGGAGATTTCCCCTCACTTCCTGTTCCTCTCATCCAACATGGACCACAACAAAAAACTTGAACAGGTTCTACACCTTTCCCACTGTATCCAAAAAAAGCCATAGGTAAGCATTCCACTTTATGGTTATTCCTGAGGACCTCTCTCTGAGCTGTGACTAACGACACCAAGATCCCAAAGACTCCTCTTCTGTATCTGACCCCAGCTTTCCTACATTGTAGACTTTACAGAACATTAGGGTTGTCACCGGCTGCAACCACTCCAACCCTTGATGATGCAGCACAGTGTTATCTTCACATGTTCTATGTTTCATTTGTCTCAACAAAACCTAATGGGGCCCCCTTCCACCCCTTAGCCCCCATAGCAGCAGCCTGGGCTATGCTACGGCTGTAGTTACACCACCATAGCATCCGCCTGTCTTACCATAGTTACGCCGCCGAGTCTAATAATTACATTTTAGAATATGAGGGGAGAAGAATTCTACATGAAAAATTATACTTAAAAAGGGACCAAAAATATTTTTATATCTTTTTTGTGCATTATTTCACTTTTAAGCTAAAATATTTTCATTGACTTACCGGTATATATAAAGTATTTTTTTTTCTTTCGTTTTTTTTCCGTTTCTTAACACAAAAAGCACCCTGAAAACCCAGCATTGCGCCCGGTTCTGAAATGACTAAAAACAGCACGATTTGTACACCGACAACGAACGCTGCCTTTCTAGCTTATGTTGAATGGCGCAGCGCTCATTTTTGTGACATTGTACGACCCCCCCCCATACACGTTCCTTTGTGTAAATGTCTTTTCTTTTTCTGTACTCGATTTCGAACATTAAATAAATATTTTTGTGGTTTTTTTTTTCTTGTTTTTCGATGACTTGCTAAAAAAAAAAAAAGTGTTCTAAGACATTCCAGTATGAAGATGAGTCCGAAGTCTTCTAGTGAAATATTTTGGGGACAAAATGTTAGAAGTTCTCCTTCGCCACATGGACTCAAAAAAGGCCTTTAGAGGCAGGTCAACCGACCCCGTAAAGTGCAATTTCCGAACATTGAGTGTTCAGATTTCCATCCGCTAGCTTGGTTCTACCGGTGGAGAGCACACATTTGGGCACAATGTCTCGCTCGCCAGTTCCGCAATGACTTTTCCGGCTTCAGACCGAGGAAAACTCCGCCTGGGAACTGGAACATCTCCTCGTCTTTGGGCTGCTTTTGGTCAACATGGAGATTTGGGTGCTGAAGTTGGTTCCGTTGCTGCCTTGTGATGGGTGGTGGTACTTCATATCCTTTCCCATGAACCTCTCGAGATTCCACCGCCTCCATTTCCTTTTTAACTCGGCTTGAACCTATGATGTTTGGAAAGAAAAAAAACGACAATAGTTACTTTCAGATGATGCCATTGTTAGATATGACTGCACCCTTCTGGTACTTGCCAGCGCTTTAAGGGTTTATGGATGTGGGGAGGCAGGGGTTGGGCTTCCCGATCATGTTATCACTCTGATTGGCTGTCACAGTGGTCACTTGATCAGGCGCCCATCCCACCAGGCCAGTGACAGCCCGGTCACAGTGCTGGGAGTGATGGCTGGCTGATGTTCGACAGTAATGTCGGGATCCGACCCGGCTGCGGCGTCTCAGTATACCACGAGCAGTAGCTCGCGGTATACTGAGCTTTGGGTCACGGGAGGACGCTAGTATCGGTGCATCCCTAATCGGCAGGATCTCCAGGTGAAAAAAAAGGGGGTAAAAAAACTTACAAAATAAAACTAATGCAGTCACCACATCTAAAAACTGGTAAGCTGCAATAAATTATATTTTATAGTTTAGGCACGCTTTCTTTTTTAAATAAACAGAATTTTCCTTACCTCTCCATTCAGGAAGCAATACAGGATCGCCACCACAAAGCCCTGAGAAAGAAAAGCAAGATACGGATTAACACTTCATTTAACTACAGAACAAGGATACAAAAATCACTTATTTTTTACGATACATTTTGTTTATTTTCTTTTTCCCCTCCGCAGAATAATATTTGGAAAAGCAACGATAACTACAGGAGAGCTTCGGCTCTTATCAGGTGAATGTGGAAGGAACAGAACATACAGAAGTGCACTTAAGCCACATTAAGATAAACAGACAAACCTACAAGCTGTAAAATCCGGCTACAATACAGCACAAGGTCAGCAGATCTAATGCAATGTAAACTAATCACTTCACAGTAACGCGTAACAACAACAACGTATATACAAGCTGTTTATATATCAGGAGCTCCTACAAGAGATGAGTGACTCAAAGCTGGTGCTGTCAACACATGGGCCCCTATAGGGCCCCAACTCTGTGGGTGGGAAGAATGCACAAAGAGTAGAAATGGGCAAAATAAAGTTTTATTTTCCTGAATTTTCAACAAAATTTTCCAATTTGGCTAAATGGAAGGGAATCAATGATGAGTACAAAACTGACGTTTTTGGTGGATGCGCCGAAATTACATTTTTAGACTGAAACCGAAATTTCTAAATTTGTCAGGCTGAAAATGAAAACAAAAATTACTCAT